GGAGGCCAAATGGCCAAAATATTGGGAAATACTAGGAAAGATGGAGACAATTGGAAATTGCAGAGTTTGGAGAAAATGAAAGACAAAGTGCGAGATTGGTTACATTATGCTCAGATTAAAGAAGTTTTTAAAAATGATAAGAAACTAGGGTTCCAGGTGGAGAAATCGAAATTAGAAACAGAATTGTTAGAACCAAAGATTAAGATACTTTCAAGGATGTATAACTCGCTGTTGGAATGGAATACACAAGATGAAATGGTTAAATCGGCTATGATAAGGTGGGCACAGGATATTGGGCATAATATTATGTTTGAGGACTGGGAAAGGCTGTGGAGTAATGGATTGAAATTTACTGCATGTAATGCTTTGAAAGAAAATGTAATGAAAATGATTTATAGATGGTATATGACCCCAGTCAAACTCGCAAAAATTTACCACCTGTCTGATAACAAGTGCTGGAAATGTAAAGAGTGTGAAGGAACGTTCTTTCACCTCTGGTGGACCTGCCCTAAAGTGAAGGCGTTCTGGGAAATGATTTATAATGATACCCCATTTCCTTGGAGGATAAGACTTTAACTGCCCCCTTCTGTCCTTGACTAAAGATGATGAAGAAGAGGAGTTTGGATTTGATATCCCACTTTATCACTACCCGAAAGAGTGTCAAAGCAGCTAACAATCTCCTTTCCCTTCTTCCCCCACAACAAACACTCTGTGAGGTGAGTGAGGCTGAGAGACTTCAAAGAAGTGTGACTGGCCCAAGGTCACCCAGCAGCTGCATGTGGAAGAGCGAGGAAGCGAACCCGGTTCATCAGATTACAAGTCTACCACTCTTAACCACTACACCACACTGGCTCTCTTACTCAGTGCCTTATTTACCAAAGTTGTGATGATTGCTATGAGGTGGGGGGTGGGATCCAGACAAGCCCAATTAGTCTGAATGAGAAATTCCACCCTGGCCTTGAATACAGCAACTGATAGTTCCATAGAAAGGCCATACTAAGGACACTACCCCCTCCGTTGGGTGGGTGCTAGCCATGCAACAAGGGAGGGTGGGTGGAAAATCCAAAGGTCACCACAATGCTGGGTGAGGAGGCAGGCCTAATTGAAGCCTGGGGAGCAGACCTGAGTGAAGACTCCAGCCTGAGTTGCAGTTAGCTCTGCCCTGCCTCCAGGCCCACCTGTGATTGGCCAATTTTCAGGTGAGCCAAATTCAAATCCCCTTGACCTGCAAAAGAGAACATGACATCTCCCACTGGCCATTGAGACTCCACCCGAGGAGCCTGACAATGGCAGCAGGGCAGCACCATGGCACAACTGTCACCTCACAAAGGATGGAGACAGGACATGCAACCTATTATCATGATTATCAAAGTTGATGTCATTGGCTCTGAGAATTCTAGGCCAGGGGTCAGCAAACTTTTTCAGCAGGAGGCCGGTCCACTGTCCCTCAGACCTTGTGGGGGCCAGGACTATGGGGGGGGATGAATGAATTCCTATGCCCCACAAATAACCCAGAGATGCATTTTAAATAAAAGCAAACATTCTACTCATGTAAAAAAAAAACAAAAAAACAGGCAGGTCCCACAAATAACAAAGAGATGCATTTTATATAAAAGGACACATTCTACTCATGTAAAAACACGCTGATTCCCAGACCATCCGCGGGCCGGATTTAGAAGGCCTTAGTTTGCCTGCCCATGTTCTAGGCTGTCTGCGAAGTGTTCCCCAAATTAACTTTAGCAAATAAGCTAATTCAAATACACTTTATTGAATGCATGCTCCCAGGCACTGTGTTGTTGCACCCTTCCTGACTTGAAGCAGACTCAGGTCAGGTGTTCTCTGCTAAATTATTGCAGCTACAAACACCATGGGAACTGTATGCAAATGCTCTCTGTAACCTCCAGAGTCAACCTGCAAAATGGGTCAGATCCCCTGGAACAGAACTAAACATATCTAATCCTTAGGTTCAGTCTAATCCATTAAGATAAACCTCATTAGTACTAATCCCTTTTACTAATTACAAAAGTTCCTTAAAGCTTTAAGATTGCATTACAGATAGGAGGACATATTAATTATACCCATGTGACTCCATTTACCCACATGAAATCCACCAAATTGCTACTTTGGTCTAAAGCAAAAGATGATGAACCAAAATTAATAAGTATAAGAAGTCAACTAAACTAAATAATCTTAAATTAACACTGCAGTTATACTGACCATTGCTTTCAACATTAATAAAAAGCAACAGTGTTCTTCATGGGACGTGGGTGGTGCTGTGGGTTAAACCACAGAGCCTAGGACTTGCTGATCAGAAGGTCGGCGGTTCGAATCCCCGTGACGGGGTGAGCTCCCATTGCTCGGTCCCTGCTCCTGCCAACTTAGCAGTTCGAAAGCACGTCAAAGTGCAAGTACATAAATAGGTACCACTCCGGTGGGAAGGTAAACGGCGTTTCTGTGCATTGCTCTGGCTCGCCAGAAGCAGCTTAGTCATGCTGGCTGAACGCCGGCTCCCTCGGCCAATAAAGCGAGATGAGCACCGCAACCCCAGAGTCGGTCATGACTGGACCTAACGGTCAGGGGTCCCTTTACCTTTAACAGTGTTCTTGAATTCTGATGGCCATCGAGATTTAGATTACCTATAATTCTTGGGTGAGCTGAGAGTTTGTTTGGACTGTGGGTGAAAACCTGGAGGCTGAGAAGGAGTGTGTGTCAGAAGGAAAAGGAATTGGTATGAGTTTATATCTATTAGTAAATTTGTATTAATGTAGCATTTTTATATGTATTTTTGTAATATTTTGTTTAAGTTATCTGATGTTGCTACCATTTTTTGTACACCACTTAGAGAATATATTTTTTGTAAACTGCTTTTTAATATATTAAGTGTTATAGAAATCAAATAATCAATCGCAGGCATTGAATTCTAGACCTTCTGGTACATCAAGCACTTTACCAATGAATGGGTTGCATGGCAGATCAGCACTGAATGCCTTGCACTTCATTCTAGCCTTGCTGAAAAACCACATCATATACTTCTAATTTATGTTGCATTTATCATTCAGTCATTACAACTCTCTCATACAAATAAAATGTTAGATGTCTCTTGAAGGGGAGTGTGAATCATAGCACTGTCCTCCCAAAATAAAATTGATCTGTATTCATTTGTCTTCATAATTCATAGTAGTGATTGGGGGAGTTCTTCATTTTTATTTTTCACAGTGTGAGAACAAATGGCTCATTAATTTTAAGCACATCAGTCTGCAATCCATGTCAGATAGAATAATGACTGACATTATATAGAACACAATGGACTGAATGTACAAATATAATTTCCCTGCATTCATCCATGTTTGCATAGGGAAAACTTTTAAGAACCAACTGATGAGAGAGGTGCGTAATTTAGCAGAGGCAGGAAGAATGGGTGATGGGTACAGATATGGGCAACTCTGGGTAGAGTGGATGTTTTGTAAAAAGACATGGCTTGAAATGTCCGAGACATTAGCATCTAGCAGAATGTCCACCATGTAGGTAGATGTGTAAACCCTTCTTACCTAACACAGAGAGCTCTGGAGATTCTATGGATGTCTGCATTCTCTGAATGTTTAAAGTCACAGTGCACAATTGCATCCCTGCAGGATGCCTGCCACTGTAAGGACACTCAATCCTGTGTCAGACAGACTCAAAGGTAGAGAGTAGCCTTTGCTTTCACCACAGCACTGTTAATGGCAGCCATTCGGTTGTGACATCATTGAGTACCAAGCCACCTGTTATCTACAGATTCCTAGACTGGAGTGCTGAACTTGCCCACACTGGTGAACGATGGAGCTGGTGGAGTGGAATGGGGTGCTGCAAATTTGCATGCATAGATAGATAAAGAGATCTGAGAATACATTGTACCATGTCTGATCTAACAGGAATGGTCCTGTTCAGGGTTCTAGCTAGCAAGCCGTACGCTTTCCCACTTACTTCCTTACCCACCTCCCCTTTCTCCAGCTGACACTATTTCCTGGGTTGTTCTCTCTCTACACCCCCTCCCCAATCTATTTCTCCATACCTGCATACCCCCCAAGCATGCCAATACTTTTTTTCATTTCTCAACTGATATCAACAATGTTGGCAAAAAGAGGGAAATTGTGGATGTATATGCTAGACACTTTAACACTGCATAACGTCAGTCTGGAGGCAAGCCTTTCTGGACAGCCCATCATCAAAACCATATAACTGCCAGGTTGGAAAGAGCATAATTTCATTTGTATCAGAGCAGCTCATGAAGGCGGAAGCAAAAACATTTTTCAACGTCAAAAAATACTCCATTTTGTTAATCATAGCCACATGTATATTATTTTCATTACCACTCCAAGCTTGTGGGAAGTGTTGTTTGATATAACAAAGCTGTCATCCTATACCACCTGAAGTTGCTATTAGCAGAAGTGATGGGTTTGACCATATGCTTTGATTTGTATATAACCTTTATATAGAGGATATATAGTGGGATGGCCAACTAACATGGCCAGTTCATATATTCATGCAAGGGCTTTTGACCTAATGCTCACTAGTGGTGAGAAAGAATTGCATGGAAAGCACTATCTTATTAAATTGATATCATTAAATCAGTCAGATGAACTTATCCAAAAGAAGCGGTAGGCTTTCCATTTCCAATGGTGTAGGGAGATCTTGGCTGAAATCCCATATATAGTTAGACTGTTTAAATTCAGTTGAAGTCAATAGTAGTGAAGTGTCATCCCTGTGCACAGGATGGTCGTTCTTGAGGGCATTTCTATCATTCCGCTGCCACCAAATGAGCCTCTTAACTAACATAAGGCAAACCTTCCCCATTAATGCTTGATTGAGAATTATATGCTTTCCAAAAGTTTTCTATGACAATGTCAATGTACATTTATTAGGAGTGGAGCTTTGGAAGTCATTGAATGATCTTGCAAGTGTTTGAGATTGCAGCTCCAGGAAAAAGGTTGAGGGGTTGCAATACATTGAAATCCATTCTCTTTTTTTTTTCGCAAGTAAATTTTTATTCAGAATTTGTATAAAGAAAAGAAAAAAGAACTAACAAATACAAAAATAAACATTTTAACATAAATTATTCATCCTATTTTCATACTATACAAAAAGAAAGCATACGTTCATACAAAAAATAATAATATAACCATTAGGCTCTCCTTAGCCTTTGACTTCCCTTCACCCTTTTGGTAAGTATCAAATAAGTCCCGGGTTGCGTAATTAGTTTATTAAAGTTTATAGTTATTAGCTGATAAAGTTTTTCTAATACCGCCAGCTCCTCCTATATATCCGTTCCAATATATTTCCAAAACTTACTCCAATTTTTTGAAATTTCTGGTCGTCTTGGTCTCGTATTCTGCCTGTTAATCTATCTAGCTCGGCATAGTTGATCATTTTGACCTGCCAGTCACTTATGTTAGGAATAGTTTCTATTTTCCAGTTTTGTGCCAGCATAATTCTTGCGGCTGTGGTGGCATAGAGAAATATTTTTATCTTCATTTTTATTTCCTTACCCATTATTCCCAGCAAAAAGGCCTCAGGTCTCTTGGGAAAAGTGTATTTAAAAACTTTTTAAGTTCATTATAAATTGCTTCCCAAAAACCTTCACCTTGCTGCATTGCCACCACATATGGTAGAGGTCTCCCTCCCCTTCACCACATTTCCAGCATGTCTTATTTTCTGATCTATAGATTTTAGCCAATTTTGCCGGCGTAAGATACCATCTATAGAGCATTTTCCAAACATTTTCTCTCAAACTCGTACAGGCCGTAAATTTAATGTCTCTATTCCACAATTTCAACCACTTTTCAAACTCGATGTTATAACCGAAGTCAATTGCCCATTTAATCATTGCCTCTTTGACTTCCTCGTCTTTTGTATGCCATTCCAGTAATATGTCATATAATTTAGACAATGTTTTGTTTTTGCCTTCTATTATTTCTATATTGAATTTTGATTTCTTGTCCTCAAAGCCCATTTTTCTTTTATCTTGTTTTAACATATCATTCACCTGATGATATTGTAGCCAGCCGGTGAATTGATCCTTTATTTCCTCATACGGTTTAAGTTTAAGCCCTTGTTCTGATTTTCTTAGCAAATCTTCGTAGGTGGCTGTCTTCCCTTCCATGTTGGTTTTTTTATTGTTAAGACCTCTACTGGTGAAATCCACCATGGTGTTTTTCTTTCGAGAAGGTTCTTATTTCTTTCCCAGACCTGATATATTGGTCCCCTGAAAATATGGTTTAAGAAAGCCCTGTGGACTTTCACCTTCTCGTACCAGAGATATGCGTGCCACCCATACCGGTTATTGAAACCTTCTAAATCCAGTAGGTCTCTGTTCTCCAATTTTATCCAATCTTTTAACCAAAGTAGGCACGCTGCTTCATAATATAGGCTCAAATCTGGGAGGGCAAAACCTCCTCTTTCCTTTTTATCAATTAGTATTTTCATTTTAATCCTTGGTCTTTTCCCCTGCCAGATGAATTTCATCAGGGTTCTCTGCCATTCTTTACATTGTTTTAGACCTTTAATAACTGGAAGAGTTTGAAATAAAAACAACATCCTCGGCAAAACATTCATTTTAACCACTGCTATCTTCCCTAAAAAGGAAAATTTCATCCTCCCCATATTTCCAGATCTTTCTTTATTTTTTTCCATGTAACTTCATAATTATCTTTATATAGGTTTATGTTTTTGCCGTAATCCACACTCCCAAATATTTCACTTTTTTCACCACCATGATTTCCACTTTTTGTTCTAGATCTTTCGTTTCTTCCTTAGTTAAATTTTTAACCAGCATTTTAGTTTTATTCTTGTTTACCTTAAAACCTGCCACCTCTCCAAATTCCTCAATTTTTGTAATGCTTCTTTTACACTATCTTGTGGATCTTCCAAAGTCAAAACAATATCGTCGGCAAAGGCTTTAATTTTGAATTCCTTCTTTCCTACTCTAATTCCTTTCACTTCTGTTGCCTCCCTCAGTCTCTTATTAAGTACTTCCAAAATTACAATAAATAATAAGGGGGACAGGGGGCAACCTTGTCTGGTCCCTTTATAAATGTTAAAATATTCTGTTGTATTGTTATTTATCACCAGCTTTGCTTTCTGTTCTTTGTATATTGCTTCTATGCCTCTTCTAAATTTTTCGCCAATTCCCATCCTTTCCAAAGCCTTCTTTAGGAAGTTCCAGGAAACATTATCAAATGCCTTTTCGGCGTCTATGAAAACCAGTGCGGCTTTTCTGTCTATTTTCATGTCCAGGTATTCAATAATGTCAATCAAATTCCTTACATTATCCCGTAATTGTCTCCCTGGGAGAAATCCTGTTTGATCACCATGAATTTTATTAATCAAGACCTTCTTTAATCTTTCCGCCATTATGTCTGCAAATAGCTTATAATCATTATTTAATAATGAGATTGGCCTATAGTTCTTTACTTCCATAGTGTCCACCTCTTTTTTAGGGATCAATATAACATAGGCTTCCTTCCAGGTATTAGGTATCTTTCCTTCTCTCAATATATTGTTCATAACCTCTCCCAGCACTGGTGATATTTGGTTAATTAATGTTTTATAATATTTGGCCGGAAGGCCGTCCGGTCCAGCGCCGTCTCAGCTTTCATCTTTTTAATAGCCTTTTTTATCTCTTCCTGTGTTATTATCTCATCTAGTGCTGCTCTTTCATCTTCTACAATTTGTTCCAGATGGTGTTTTTGCAGAAATTGATCTATTTCTTGTTCTGTTTCCTCTCCTCTTTTGTACAAATCCTTGTAATATCTTTGGAATATTCTTTTTATTTCTTTTGGTTCTTCCATAATCATATCTCCTTCTTTTATTTTACTGATCGTATTCAACTTCTTCCTTTCTCTCAACTGCCACGCTAGATATTTCCCTATCTTATTTGCGGACTCAAAGTTCTTTTGATTCATCCTTTTAATTTTCCACTCTATCTCTTGGTTAATTATTGTAGCAAATTTAGCTTGTAGTATTTTTAAGTTCTGTTTTAAACTCTCTTCACTAGGGTTAACAGTTAATTTTCTTTCATTTTCCATAATCTGTGTTAAAATCTGCTCTTTCTTTTTTTTCTTTTTCTTTTATTAATTGGTTATTTTTCTGAATCAAAAATCCCCTCATGACAGCATTTCATGCGTCCCACACCATCTCTATGGAAGTTTCTCCATTTAAATTCCACCTAAAGTATTCTTCAATTGTTTCTATAGCCTTATTTACTATCCTTTGATCATTGAATAAATATTCATTCATTCTCCATCTGGCTGTTTTAACCTCTCTACCTTTTAACTCCATGGAAACCGCACTATGATCAGATAAAGTTCTAGGCCAAATTTCAGACTTAATTAAATTCTGTACCAATTCCCTCGAGACCCAAATACTGTCTATCCTCCCCCAGCTCGGGTTCGGATTTGAATAAACAGTGAATTGTTTTGCAGTAGGGTTTTAAACCTCCAAACATCCGTCAATCCCAAATTATTTACCATGTCGAAGAAAGATTGTGGTAGTTTACCTTCTTTCCCATCTTGTCTTTTTGTTAATCTATCCATGTTCGGCGTCACCACCCCATTAAGATCTCCCATCAATATCATTTTCTGGTCCATCCATTCCATTAGTATATTATCTAATTCCAAAAGAAAGCTGATTTTTCTCATTCGGGCGTATATTCCAACCACAACTATTTTTCTCCATGAAACACCATCTGTACCACCACTACTCTCCCATGTTCATCTTTATACAGTAGTTGCGGGTCATATTTTTCCTTTATATAAATTACTACCCCTCTTTTCTTAACCTTGTCGGAGGTCACAAAGTCCAATCCCAATCTCTTATTACTTAATACTCTCTTGTGTTTTCCTATAACATGCGTTTCTTGAAGACAAATTAAATCCCAATTCTTTTCGACAATACATGTGCAATCTGATTCCTCTTATTTTTATTGTTCAAACCATTGACATTCCAGCTTATTGTTTTTAAAGCCATCTATTAAACTATTCTAGCTAATTTAACTAGATTAAATAGAGACTACTGTTCCTTGCTTTCCTCCTCTTGTTCTTCTCCTTCTCCTGTTAAGCTCTCCTCTTTTTCTTCTTCTTCACTCCCTTCACCCTCCTCGTCTCTCTGTCGTTCCTCCCTTTCCACCTCCCCTTCAACTTTTCCCAGGTCCTTCTCATATCTCCTCGCAAATTTTTGGAGTTCAATACTGGTGCTTAATTTAAACCTTTTTTCCTTAAAGTAGAATGAAATGCCTTCGGAAACTCCCATCTATACAATATCCCATTCTTCTTCAATTGGTTTGTTAATTTTTGTATGGCTCTCTCCTCGAAGAAATCTCGAAGGAATTTCTCTAAAGATAATAATTGGGCTTCCTCCAATATATAACCTTTTTATGTGGTTCTGTTGCAGTATTTCATTTCTTATTTCCAAAGTGTTGAACATGACAATTACATCACCTGGCAGCTTTTTCTTTCTGGCTCTGTCTGATTTTGGTCTTATTCGAAAAATATTTACTAAATGGCAGTTTACCTCCTCCTCGCTCTTATTTAACCAAGTTGCCAGCTCTTTTATCATTTTAGATCTAATATTCTCATTTGGGGTCTCTGGTACACCCCTCAGTTTTAGGTTGGTTTGATTTTTGCCTCATTTGCGTCATAGCCATATTGTCCAACAACTCCTCCTGCACTCTTTCTATCTCTTTAACTTCTACTCT